TTTTTTTTTTTTTTTCAAAAAAGGCATGAACAGCCTGTGGGGGGACGCTTGCAGAGTGCTCCTGGGAGGATGGGGGGGGCCAATTTTCACGGGGGAAAAAACGGTTCATTTTTTGCAAAAAACAGGCCCCTTTTTGTCAAAAAAAATCCATGCATAGCCTTATGGAGGCTTATAGGGGCCTGGGGGGACAAAAATGGCCTGGTTTTTGCTCATTTCTGCCCTCCCCAGCCCCCAGGATCTCTCTGAAAGCCTCCATAAGGCATGGCCATTTTGGTGAAGGGGCGGGGTTTTGGGAGGCAAAAAAATGCTGTATTCGCGCACAGATTTTCAGCCTTTTTTTTTTTAGGAAAAAAGGTGCATCTTATACTCTGAAAAATACGGTAACTAAAGGCAGTGAATATATCTAACACACTTTCCTCCTCCCATTTTCCCCACACAACAAACCCTGTGAGGTGAATTGGGCTAAGAGACTGGCCCAAAGTCATCCAACTGACTTTCATGGCTAAAGTGGGACTAGAACTCAGAGTCACATGCTTTCTAAACTGGTGCCTTAATCACTAAATGAAAGTGACTCTTTTTCAAAACTTCAATAGTTAACTCTTTCTAGATAGCAATTCATCACAATAAATGTGTTGTTACTCTTCATTTGCTTTGTGAGTTGCATTCATAATCTTTTGGCACTGTTGAAAGTGGTTGTTTGAACTCCATCAACTCCAAAATTTAATCCAAAAATGTGAAAGAAATAAGATCAGAAAATCTCATTTCAATTATGTATGTAGAATAGCAAGTCATAGCTATATTTTCCAAAAGAGAAGCAAATGGCAATATATTTTTCCCAATTGAGTAGCTTTAGCAATAACTTTGCTACATAATTAGTTTTGCAGACTCATATATTTACTAACACAGAAAACTACATATTTGCCAAGTACAAAGTTGACTTCTTAAATGAAGTCATATACTTTTTCTTGAGTTTCCGATATGAAGAAGTAGCAGATGAATTTGCAAATTTTAAGCAAATTATACCAAGCAGGGTACAAGAATTGTGATCTGGGCAAAAAGATGATAGTCTAATTTAGAGAACTGATGGGCTCCATTTGACCCATTTCAACGGCTGACAGTTGCTGAGCTTAAAGTTCAAAATACTGCCTTAGACTGATCTTTATTACCAATGATGCACAGTTCTATAGCTAATACAATAGTACAGAGTGTTCAGAAAGCTGCAAAAACATTTTGCCACCCAAAAGGTGGATGTTTGGAGTTATGACAGAATCCTGAACTTTTACTTTTATTGTATTTGTACTCTAAGGTGAGGATACATAAACCTGGGTCCCCGTATCCATTGGGAACTGGACCACAGAAATGGCAAGCAAGCAGGCCAGCACACAAAGCTCCATTTCTGCAGGTGGCAGGTATGGACACGAAACCATCCCCTCCCACCACCACCAGTCCACAGTGCCTAAAAGGTTGGGGAATGTAATAGGAAAACAGTTTGTAGTTCTATTAACATATTTACCTCAGCAGGTGGCAGCACTTAGCTTTCCTTGGAAACTAAGCAGCATCACATCTGGTTAATGGTTGGATGAGGGAGCATTTCAGGGTAGAAAGCAAGACTGAGAAGTCAAAAAACATTTTCTGGAATAAAATAACATCAAACCTGTTTTACTACATAAAATTATCAAACAAGTTTTCACGGATGCAGTCAGCAGGAGATTGAACTCAACCTGGAGTCTCTTATCTAGGCACAAAATTACATGCCGATATATTGACCAGTTTTCTCAACATTAGCAACTTTATAATGTGTGGATTTCAACTCACAGAATTCCCCAGTCTCCATGTTTGAGAACACTGGTGTAGACTAAAGATTGAACAGCTGTTTCTTGGAGGAATTTCAAAAAATATGTGGCCCTAAATAGCACAAGAGATGCTCGGCCCTTTCTCTACCAACAAGTTTTCTATTCCATATACTACCTTCTTAAATTGCTTTATTCTTACCAAATTGAATTTCAATTTTCCTATAATAGATGGATACCTAGAACCTGAAGGCAGGGATGTTAAAAACACAAAGAGGGAGGATATCAAATGATGTAATGCCCAGCAAAAGTGACAATTATACATTAACTTTCTCATTAATTTTCTGCTTCTAACCATCCTCTCTGAAAAGTGTATTGTTATTATATATTTAATCAGATAGCTACCTACTTGACAATATCCCCCCAAAAAAGTAGGAGCAAGTAGATTTCCTGGATCATTGCCACAATGCCTATCAGGGGTGGGTTTCAAAAATTGTTCGAACCACCTCTGTGGGCGTGGCCTCCTTTGTGGGAGTGGCTTGCCGCCCATGTGACCGGATGGGAGTGGCTTGCCGCCCATGTGACCGGATGGGAGTGGCTTGCCGCCCATGTGACCAGATGGGAGTGGCTTGCCACCCAT